TGCTGGTGTCAGATGATGGGTCTTGTCAGAAATCAGAGAGTGCCAGAGGAATGTGTTTGTTTTGTTTCATTGACTATGGGTGGATCATAACAAATTATAGCTAATATTGAGGAAAATGGGAATCCTGGAACACTTGATTGTGCATATGCAAAACCTATACTTGAACTGTGAAGCAGTCCTCAGAAAAGAGCAAAGAAACAATGCATGGCTTAAAATGATGTTAATGCTATGATGCAATTGCTACAAAATTTAAGGCAAACAATATGTATCTAGTTTATGAATACATACCTGTGTCATAAATATCGAAAAGCAAGCGTATATACACAATTAATGATAATGCTTCATCTCCACTCCTCAGATTTACCAAAGGAATAATAGAGATAATGAGGTTTTACAATGGCAATAGTTGGCTTAAAATAAGAAAATTCAGAACTTTGAAATGAAAAAGTAACATTTGTGTAATGCCTATGATAAATACATAAGTAGTGTTGTTGTTGTTGTTGTTGTTTACTGTTAAGGTGGAACTTAGAACTGACTCATAGGTGATCTTCTTGTGGGTTTTCAGAGGCACTTAATCGCATGGGAGGAGATTGTCCATCCTTCTCCTGCAAAGCAGCTGATGTATTCACACCTTGTACCGTTGGGGTCTCACATGCCATATGGCTGCCCATGGTGGACAGTGTTTGGTGGTACTCCCCATGTTAAGACAGATTTCGAAGCAGGAGTGGCATCTGCTTCTTAAACTACATGCCACTGGAAACTCTATGAACTTGGAGAAATGATAGTTATAGAAAGGCCTCAGGTCTTTTGTTCATAGAGTCACATAGAGTGCATGACTCCATGACAATCAACAACAGCCTTGGAGATTGCAGTATAGCTTCTTCCCACTAGGACACCAGCGCTCCCTAAAACAGAAAAAAGCACTAACTTATTTTTGTATGTTTGAAGTATTAGAATAATTGAAAAATATTTGAAAATGTGACAATAGATAATAGTCACGACACGGGGGTAAGTGAAAGAAACAGCTTTCTTAAAGGAAAGGATGATTAGATATTATGTATATGACCATTAACAACCAGGAACAGGACAAGCATTATAAAATTAATTAGAAGAGTGGTAGAGAGGAAAATGTGTAAGAATGAATGAATGAATGATTGAAATACCAGTCTTTGTAAATTTTCACAGAAATCACAACTTTTTAAAAAAGTTGTTAACATTTAAAAAGATTTGCTTCATTGTTAACCAAAAAGATTTTAAGTTCAGTTTCGCCCCAGAAATCATGTTGGAAAAATGGGGCTGATGATTTATTTCTTTTTTTTTATTTATTTCTTAAAAATTAGCTATTTAAACCTTTTCAGCAGAGATATACTCTTCTATACATGGGCCACCTTGTTATTGTTGTTTTTGCTTACCATCACATCAGAGCCAACCCACAGAAGCACTTCTGACTGGTTTTAAGTTAAAGAAAATGAAATAACAAGAAAATGGGAGATTCTTAACACTGGACCAATTGTTGTTCTTGTTGTTGATTGACTTCGAGTCAAGAACGACTCATAGCAACCATATGAACAAAAGGCCTGAAGCCCTTCTACAATTCTCAACACTTATCAAAGTTCAGTGTTTCCAGAGGCATCTTGTTTAGAAAGTGGATGCCACTCCTGCTTCCAAACCTGTCAAAGTATGTTATTGTTGTTATGTGCTGTTGAGTCTCCTGCCCAGTCTCACTAATTCTAGCACACCAACCCCAATTTCCCCAGTTACTGTATCAATTCATCTCATCCAGGGTCTTTCTCTCCTGTACTATCTGTCCACCATTTCGAATATAATGTCCTTCTCCAAGGACCAATCTCTCTTGGCCATGTGCCTAAAGTAAGTGAGGCAGAGCTTCAGAATCATAGCCTCAAAGGAGAGTTTCACCCTCTCCAAGACAGATCTGTTTGTTTTCTTGGCAGCCGATGGTATGTTCAAGATTATTCTCCAGCACCACAACCCAAAGGTTCTTCTTCTGTTATCCTTAGTCATTGTCCAACTCTGTGAAGTATTACAAGTAATTGAGAAGGTGCATTTTTGTATCTATACTGACATTGTTGCTCTTCAGCACTCTGGAGAGGTCCATGACAGCATATTTTCCCCAATGCAGTTCCTCTTTTGCTTTTCTGACTGCCAGTGTCAAGAGTGTTGATTGTGGGGCTGAGCAGGCTGTAATTGCTAACAGCCTCAATTACTTCTCAGTTTATTATGGTGCCACCAATTGGTCCAGTGGTGAGAATCTTTGTCTTCTTGATGTTGAGTTTCAATCCATATTGAAGACTACAGTCCTTGACCTTTTGCAGCAAGTGCTTTTGGTTTTCTTGAGTTTCAGCAAGCAAGGTTGTGTGATCTGTATATCGTAGGTTGTTAATGAGTCCTTTTCCAGTCTTGATGCCACATTCCTCCTCATAAAGCCCTGCCTCCCGAATGATTTGTTCTGCATCCAGTTTAAAAAGGTATGGGGACAGGATGCATTCCTGATGTACTCCTTTCCTGATTTTAAACCATACGTTGTTTCCTTGCTCTGTCCCCTGAAGACTGCTTCTTGGTCCAAATATAGGTTTCTTATAAGCACGATCAAGTAAGTGTTCTAAGATTCCCATTTTCCTCAAGGTTAGCCACAATTTATTGTGATCCACACAGTCAAATGCCTTTGCATAATTAATGAAACACAGACATTCTTCTGATACTCTATGCTCTCTGCTAAGATCCATCTGACATTGACAATAATGTCTCTAGTGCCATGAACCAGCTTATATTTCTGGTAGTTCTTTGTCATTGTACTGTTAAGTCTTTTCTGGATAATTTTCAGGATTTTGCTAGTATGTGATATTAGTGAAATTGTTCGATAATTTCCATACTCTCTTGCATCACCTTTTTTTGGGAATGGGAATAAATATGGATATCTTCCAGTCAGTGGCCAAGTTGTTGTCCTCCAGATTTCTTGGCACAACTTGGTGAGGACATGCAGGGCAACATGTGTTTGCTAAAATACATCACTTGGTATTCCATCAGTTCCTGGGGCCTTATTTTTTTTGGCAAGTCCTTCAGAGCAGCCTGCACTTCCTCTTTCATCTCCATTGTCTCTAGATCATATGTCGTTTCTTGAAATTCTTCTGTTTCCGCCAATTCTTTTTGGTACAGTGACTCCTTATACACCTTCCATCTTCTCTTAAAGCTTCCTTAACCATTCAATATTCTGCCCATAGCATCCTTAAGCATTGCAACTTGTGACTTGGTTTTCTTTTTCAGTTCTTTCAGCTTAAGAAATGCTGAGCAGGTTCAGTCCTTTTGATTTTCTGACTCCAGCTCCTTGCACAATTTATTATAATATTTTATAATATTGTTAACAATTTCAACTTGTATGGTTCTACAATCAGCACTCTTGGCACCAGCATTCAGGAAACTAAATTATTAATTCCATTAGGAAAATCTACTGCTAGGGACCTCTTCAGAGTACTAAAGAGCAACGATATCATTATAGAGAGTAAGGCCATAGTCTTCTAATTATCTGTTATACATGAGAGAGCTGGCCAGTGACCAAAGATGACAGTGGAAGGATTGATGCTTTTGAGCTGTGCTGCTAGAGAAAAGTATTAACAGGTCTCTCCTTGAGAGGGTGAAGCCAAGCTGCTCTTTAGAGGCAAGGATTTGAGGTTATGTCTCACTTACTTTGGGCATGTTGCCAGGAGGGTCCAGTTGAAGAAAGGAAAACCCTTAATGAGATGGATTTTCAGAGTAACTAGGGTAATGAGGTGGGTGTTCAGAGACAATGAGATTGGCATAGATAGAGCAGGATTCAGAACTGTTGTTCTTAGGGTACTATGAGTCATAGTCCACTAGAGGGTTCATAACAAGAACAATAACAAGGGAGAAGATTGCCTGTCCTTCTCAGAGGAGCCAGTAGATTTGAATCACATACATTTACATTAGCAACACAGCTCCTTACCATGGGGCCACCAGAGCTCATGAGAGCTCATGAGTCTGGCCTATCATAATCAGGGTCAATTTGTTAGAGACCTAGGACCAGAAAAGACTGTGCCTGTCAGCTATCTTATTTCATCCTTATAATCATCTGAATAATGGATAGTGCTTCCTATCTTTATAATAGTGGAGAAAATAATTATGATCCAAAGTGAAACGAGGAACATGTTTTTTTATATACCTATGGTTAGAATTTAGGTCCTCTATCATGAAATAATCCCTTTTACTTTTCCCCAGTGTGGCTGGGTGGAATGAGGAAGATCTGTGGAAGTTCTGACATGGTTACACTTGAAGGTTTTCTCTTAGTCCTTTGACACTTTTATAGAACTTTCAAACACCTTTCCCAAAATTAAACTGCAAAGCTGAATGGTGTGCTGTCAGGAACTGCTCACTGAGCTGATTGTGGAGAGTTTTGAAAGACCATGTGAAAATTTTGTGTTTTGGATATGAGAGGAGGGAGAAAACATGATGTCTTGGAAAATATGCCTGATAAGAACTCAAGACTGATTAAGAAATGATAGATTCAAGATAAAATTATGAAATAATAGTTAATAAATGTGGGTATGATTTATTTAAAAAGTCATTAAAATTTTAATTCCCATGAGTTCAAGGCCACCTGATCTCTAACAGTTATTACTTTTAGAGAAAGTCAGTGGTCTCTTGTCAAGTGGTAGAAAAAAGGTGAGAGTTCTTCTTATCTGCTATTAAACAATGTAATATAATTCTTTATTGTTGTTGATTGCCTTTGAGTCAAGCACAGCTCATAGCAACTCTATGAACAAATGGCCTGAAGGCCCTCTACAACTGTCGACATTTATCAAAGTTCATAGAGTTTCTGGAGGCAGGTTGTTTAGGAATTGGATGCAGCTCCTGCTTCCATAATTCCCTATAGTGCTTTGAAAATTAACTGTTGTCTATCAAATATTAACAAAATATTCTCAAAATATCAAATGCTTTAAATTAAATATTATTTTCTTTAATTACAGGGCAAAAGTTGGATTGTTAAACGAAGTTACGAAGATTTTCGGGTACTTGATAAACATCTTCATTTATGCATTTATGACCGAAGGTTCTCCCAGCTCTCAGAGCTTCCTCGTTCTGATGCTTTGAAGGATAGTCCAGGGGTAAATATCCTGTATTTCTAGAAGTATTCTCCTTCTATGAATAGGTGGCAAATTTCTTTGTATACTAAAATTTCAGTTCAGATTGACCACTATGAATAAGATGATTTCTGGAATTGTTTAACTTTTTCATACCTAAAATCTAATAACACTCTGTAAATATTTAAAATTAAAGTAGATTCAATATATACTTTTATACAGATTGTTTTTTAAAAAATGAACCTTGTACTAGTACATAATAGGTTATATATATATATAAATAAAATTAGGATTCTCCAGAGAGTTTAAGAACTATGGAAGCAAATATATGGAAAAAGATATTATTTTTAGGTGCCCTTGAGTCCACTGTGACAACAGATCAGGACCGTGGCCTGTCCTGCACCATCCTTACAGTCTCTGCCACTCTTGGACACATTATTGCAGTCATTTGATAGTCCATTTCATTGAAAGTCATCCTCTCTCTCACTTAGCCTCTACTTTTCCCAACATGATTTTTTCCAATCACTGGCATTTCCTGACAGTGTGCCCAAATAGTGTGAGAGAAAGTTTAATCATCCTTGCAAGGAGTAGCCTGCTTACACTTCCTCCAAGACACCTTTTTTTTTGTTGTTTTGGCAGTCTGTGATATATTCAGTATTATTCACTAACTCAAAATTCAGAAGTTTCAACTCTTCTTTGATTTTTCTTATTCATTGTTCAAATTTCCCATGCATATAAAGCAATTGAAAAATACCAAAGCTGTGGCACATCTTAGTCTTTAAACTGACATCCTTCCTCTTTGGCACTTTAGAGGCAGTGTATTTTCCTAGAGGAGCAAATCTGTTGATATCTTAACTGCTGTCCCCATGGATATTTATTACAGATCCAATGAAAATAGTGATCTTTAAAGTAATTTTAATAATAACAAAACAATAATAGGACTACATTCAAACTTGACATAATTAAACAGGGATTAGTGAGTGAGGAAATTAAATGGTCTAATCCAACACCCATCAATGTTTTTGGACAACAGAATTTTTCCATAGGGTTTCTGAGGTTGTCAATAATTATGGAAGCAAACATCTTTATCCAATGGAAGACCAGTAACAATTTTTATTTCTTAGCAGCTGAACACTTACCCACTGTTTTGTAGGGTTTCTTTTATAAGATTATACCTCCAAAAATTGGAAGAATGATAGAATACTGATAATTAAAATAGAAAATAAAATTCCTAATTCTCTCTCCAAGGATTTCAAAGAAGAAAGTATATGGGAGAAAAGAATTAAAATTGTTGTTTATTGTTATGTGCCATTGAGTTGCTTCCAATTCATATCAACCCTGTGTACAAGAGCCCTCAAAGCTTCCCTATCCTGTGCCAACCTCACTGTCTTGAACACATGCATCCCACCACTCCAATCACAGAATCAATCCCTCTCATCGAGGGTCTTCCTCTCCTGCGCCGTCCTTCAACTCTCCCAAACAAGATGTCCCTCTTCAAGGACCAGTCCCTCCTTGCAATATGCCCAAAGTATGTCAGATGAAGCTTTAGAATCCTTGACTCTAAGGAGCGTTTTGGCTTCACCTTCTCCAGGACAAACCTGTTTGTTCTCCTAGCATTCGATGGTATATTCAACTCTCTTCTCCAGCACCACAGCTTAAAGGCATCAATTCTCTTTTTGTCATCCCTATTCACTGTCCAACTCTTCGATGCATAGCACGCAATTATGAAGACTATACCAAGAGGCAGTAGTCAGAACAGAGCAGGGACACACTGGATGGTTCAAGATCAAGAAAGGGGTCCGTCAGGGATGTATTTTGTCTCCATACCTTTTCAATCTGTATGCAGAACAGATCATCCGAGATGCTGCACTGTACAAGGAGGAATGTGACATCAGCATTGGTGGAAGAATCGTCAACAACCTGTATTATGCAGATGACACAACCCTGCTTGTTGAAATTGAGGAGGACCTGAAGCGCTTGCTGCAGAAGGTCAAGGACTACAGTCTTCAATATGGATTGAAGCTCAGTATCAAGAAAACAAAGTTTCTCATCACTGGGCCGTATGGATGGTGAAGAGATTGAGATAGTTAACAGTTTTAGTTTGCTTGGCTCCACAGTCAACACTCTTGGTAACAGCAACCAGGAAACCAGGAGACGAATTTCATTGGGAAAGTCAGCTGTGAGGGACCTCTCAAGAGTATTGAAGAGCAGTGGTGCCAGGCTGGAGACTAAGGTGCGTCTGATCCAGCCTATAGTCTTTGCCATTACATGCTATGCATCGGAGAGTTGGACAGTGAATAGACATGATAGAAAGAGAATTGATGCCTTTGAGTTGTGGTGCTGGAGAAGAGTGTTGAATATACCATGGACTGCTAGGAGAACAGACAGGTTTGTCCTGGAGAGGGTGAAGCCAGAATGTTCCCTGGAGTCAAAGATTCTGAAGCTTTGTCTGACATACTTTGGGCATGTTGCAAGGAGGGACTGGTCCTTGGAGAGGAACATCATGTTTGGCAGAGTGGAGGGATGGTGCAGGAAAGGAAGACCCTCGATGAGGTGGTTCAATTCTGTGAGTGGAGTGGTGGAAATGAGTGTGTTTGAGACAGTAAGGTTGGCACAAGATAGAACAGCGTTTTGGGCTCTTGTACATAGCGTCGCTATGAGTTGCAAATGACTTGATGGCACATACCAACAACAACATAGCCTGGATCAGGTGCACCTTAGTCTCCAGCATGACATCGTTGCTCTTCAGTACTCTTGAGAGGTCCTCACAGCTGACTTTCCCAGTGCAATTCATCTTTTAATTTCCTGGCTGCTGTTACCAAGAATGTTGACTGTGGAACCAAATAAACTAAAACTGTTAACTATCTCAATCTTTTCACCATCCACACTGATACTGCTAATTGGCCCAGTGGTGAGAATCTTTGTTTTCTTGATGTTGAGTTTCAATCCATATTGAGGGTTGCAGTCCCTGATCTTCTGCAGCAAGTGCTTCAGGTCCTCCTCAGTTTCAGCAAGCAGGGTTTTGTCATCTCTGTAACACAGGTTGTTGCTGACTCTTCCACCAATCCTGATGCCACATTCCTCCTTGTACAGCCCAGCGTCTTGGATGATCTGTTCTGCATACAGATTGAAAAGGTATGGAGACAAAATACATTCCTGATGGACCCCCTTCTTCATTTTGAACCATGTAGTGTCTCCTTGCTCTGTTCTTACAATTGTCTTTTGGTCCAAGTATAGATTTCACACAATTAGTTTTGTGAAAATACACTAACAATTAGGAAGAATATAATTCTTTAAATGGTAACATCAATGAACGGAAAAGATTCACAGACATTAGAAACATAACAGTGAAGTATGAAGTAAAACCTAATTTTCTTAGAAATAAGAATAGCCACCCTGGATACATAAATACAGTGCAGGGCTTTTGGCCATGTACTGAAGGGTGATTCCTTCAAATATTAAGTTAATTTTCAGTTAAGAGAGTAGGGCAAAGTAGAGATGTCATCAGTTATCTAAGAACTGACACTACAACAGGTTCCAGGATTGTCTTAATACCAAAGATTCTTTTCTTTAATCGAGATCCTAGAGGCATTCTCTATTTCAGTCTGTCTTAGAATAATAACTATCAACAGGTCTCAGATTTCTGTATCCTCTTTTTAATAGAGCATCCAGATTGAACTGGAGTTTTGTAGTGCAATTCCTAATTATCTCCTTTTAACTCTTTAGATATAAAAATATAAAATACGCAATGGAAGATTTGACATGTCAACCATTTTTAAGTGTGCAATCCAGTGGTATTAACTACCATTGTAGTATTGTGTTATTGTCACATTATTCCCACTCCTTATTTATGACCGTGGCTGAGTCCCATTGATAAGGTTGCTATGGTAAAATGGCCTTACATAAAAAGGAAGGTATATAACTGACTTAAATGACTTCCAAATTGCATCCTTACATATCTACCTAATTTTGATATTACTTATCTGTCAAATTACATTGTTCTAAATCTTAACCATTGTACTCCTGTCCTATCAGTGCTCCTTCATTGCGTTGCTGCTAAATGACATCAGTAACTGCCACACTGCTGAGTCCTGCCTGGCTCAGCCGAGTAGACAGAGGCTTAATTATTGTTGCCAGTGACCCTTAATGTCCACACTCGCAGGTGGATGTTAGTCTGCAAAATAGTTGGATAGTGATTTTTTTCACTATTGTAAATACAAATTGTTGGATACTAAAATAGTCAATTAAAAAACCTGTTTATTTGGGTGTTTGGGTTTTGTTTTGTTTTTTAAAATCATCAACTCAAACAGAAACTGTACGCATTAAATAATAACTCCCATTTTTCCACCTCCACAAGTTATGGTAACCACTAATCTGCCTTCTGTCTTTGTACATTTTCCTCTATTAGATGTCATTGTTGTTGTTAGGTGCCTTCAGGTCAAATATGACTCATAGTGATACTGTGAACAACAGATCTGAACCCTGTCCTTTCCTGTGGCATCTCCATCATCCCTAACTACAAATTAGATAATAAAACTTATATTTTGTTTCTGGCTTATTTTACTTACCGTAGAAGGCCCTCTATGAGGTGGATTGATTCAGTGACTGGGATAATTGGGATGGGAGTGTCAGAGACAGTGCGATTGGCACAGGACAGAGCG